GCACTTGCCCTTGTCCGAGTAGGGGGACAGCCCGGCCGCGTAATTCACCGACATGGCCCCGCAGCCGCCACCCGCCTCCGCGCCGCTGTCAATAAAGTTCTCATTGTTGTCAATTCCTGCCGGCCGGGCGGAAGCGCGCCGGGCGTCGCGAAGCCGGCGTGCCTCACTGCGCATGCGGACAAGGCCCGGGCGGTGGCGCCGGCTGTGGCGCCACCATGTTGGTTCCTGGCAGAAGGGTCCCTGCCCGTCCTTGACAGAGCTGAGGCAGGCGCCTGGCCCTGGCAGAGGGGAGAGATGTGCCTGGCCCTGTGGGAGGACAGCGGGTCCTCCTTGCAGCACTGCTGCTCTGACAGGGGATCCCCCTGATCCCCGGACTCCAGGAGCTTAAAGAAATACCACGTATCCCACAGCTGGCAGGGAGCAGAGCCAGGCTACCTACGGGGCGCGGCAGGTGCCCGGTAGCTTCTCCGTGCAGCGCCAGGCCTGTTCGTTGTGCTAAACCCGTCACAGAAAGCTGGGAGCCCTGTTAGATAGGGAGAGCGCAACAGCTGACAGCAAGGGACGAACGGAAAGAAAACAGGGAAGGGAGTGCAGTCACGGGTGCAAAATAAGGGATGCAAGGGGACACCGAGCAGAGAGCACCCACCAGTGCCCGCTGCCCCTTGCATGATTTGGGGGAGCCTGCGGGCACCCACCAGTGAAACTGCCTGGAGACATGAAGGGAGGAGTGAGAGGAAGACAACCCCACATCCCCAGGCTCCCCCTGCCTGAGCCTCCGCCCTGGTCTGGCAGATGGCCGGCTTGGCCGGAGCCTGGAGAGGCTGACTGGGAGGTCCTGGGACTTGGTGGGGCCACGGATGGGCTGCAGTGCCTGGTGCTTTTCTGTTTGGGGAACACCCTATGTGCAGCCTCACCTGTCCTAAAGTGGAAGCCCTGCCATCTCCAAGCAGGGGGCAAAGACAAAGCCGACCCCATGGTAGCTTTTAGTACTGGATTTTGCAAGCCGTTTCCAGTCACCCTGCAAGGAAGATGCACACCTCAGCAGGCCTCCTGTCACTGTGAAGTTAGGCTTGTGCATCGTTCTTTCTCTCCCTTCATAGTCTTTCCAAGATATTTTACAGCCCATTGTTTGGCTGGGAGCATGTCTTCTTGCCCAGATACTCTGTGCCCAGCCTGCTATAGATGCTAGAGAAAAAAAAATCCATTAATGAGCAAGCACAGGTCCTGATCTGCTGAGCTCCGAGTGGGTTAAAGGTTCCAGCCATCTCAGCACAGAAAGGAGGATCGTGCAATCCCTGGGCCTGGTGGTCAATGCGCCTGGTTTTCCCACCTCAGTTCCTGACCAACCAAGTGACCTTGCGGCAGTCGCTTCCCATGTCTGTGGCTCTCTGTCCCTATCTGTAATGCAGGGAAAAACAATACCTACCTCCCAGGGGTTGTGTGAGGGTCCCTCAGCTCTAGCAAAGCCCTAGAGAAAAGAAAAGGAATCACAGGACAAAATCTTGTCATGTTTGCACGCTAAAGGTCAAGGGGAACCTTTAGCTCTACAAACCAAGTCCCCAGGCTGCTCCGTGGGGATATGTCCCTGAGAGTTATGGAGCCTGTTGCAGGATCAGGGCCTAGAAGCTGTCCATGAATAGGATCCTCCATTCCCTTGCTTGTTGCTGCTGCTTTCCAGGTTCTTTAAAGGCAGGGTATGCATGGAGAATAATTACTCTGGCTTCCCAGAGCTAGTGGGGAGCCTGATGGGTATGGACGGCCTGATCATGAAAGGTGCTCTGCACCTGTGACATCTGGGATAGTCAGGACTGTGGAGATGCTCAGAGATGGAGATATAGCTCCAGAGTAATGTAGTGCCTTGAACACTGTGCAGCGCTGAGCTGCAGCCCGCTGTAGCAAGGTAACCGTACCTGTAGCAGGTAAGTAACCCAATTCCCAGTGCAGTGATGTCCCTCCCCTAGTTTCTCCTCGTTCACGGTGACACAGCCTCACCCGGGCTGGGCCACCTCTGATACGGTGAGCTCCCATCAATCAAGACGGAAGTAAGGAGACTCTTCAGAGTTTGTTCTGCCCTCGGCACTGAACGTGTAACGGAGGAGTGAGAACCTGCCCGAGCTGCACCGGACAGTATCAACAAGGTAGGGATGGGGCTTGGAGGGGAGGCAGGAGATGGGAGACTGGCCCAAAGTCCAGCAGCCCTGGAGCTGCACGTTTCACACATCTGCAATCAGGACTGAGGGACTCTTGCTGCATCTGAACAAGTCAGGGCTAATATATGAAGTCATTCATCGCTCTGTACAACTGCGAGTCCCCAGGGGCTCTGACATCCTGGGAGACTGCTCTAGAGCCAATGCAAACACCTAGATTGGCAAGGAGGCAGGTCCCTAGGCAAAAGTAATGGCCCTGACAGCAATGCCAACAGGCTGGGCTCCTGTCTGGCGCCAGCATGGTACAGCGTGGCATAGAGGGCTGTGCAGCAGGGCAGGGCTGTGCGGGGGTTAGAAGAGAGGATGGAGGATGAGCGCTCCTGGTTTCTGTCTCTTTGCCATGAGGGACCCTTAATTTGCCTGTGCCTCAGGCCCTGGGGAGCCCACACTGAAGTCATGTGGAGGTGTATGCCTCCTCCGGAGACCCAGCCCTCCGGTGTTCTCAAGCAGCAGGGGCTGGAAGAGCCTGACGGTAGAGAAGGGGCACATGCATTTGAAATAAGCAGCTGCCCAGGAGGCTGGTAGCTTTGGGGGGGCTGACGAGCTACCCTGAGGCATAGAGCCCTGCTGGCAGCAAACACAAGGCTACAGGGCTGTTCCCAGGGGGGCAACATGGAGCAGAGTCCAAGCGGGGGCCCAGTACTCCTCAAAGGGGTCCAGGGAGGAATTTCGCCCAGAGGCACGAGGTGACAAGGGAGCAGCCCCCCAACACACCCATCCAGCCTCCGCCTCTTCCTCAGGGCATTGTGGACACAAGGGTCAGGAATTCGTGGGCAAGGAGGTCTTGGGCATTGGATGGGGTCTGCAGAGGTGGAGGCTGCAGGAGCAAGGCCAACCAGACTGCCAGCCTCTCCCCTTCCCACAGAGGCACAGGCAGGAAGCGCCCTGTCTCAGGACTCGGCGCTTTCTCCTGGGCACATGGGCACTCCCAACAGCCAGGGCAAATGTCACAGGCTCCACCTGGCCCCTTCATCTATATTCCAGTTGTGGCAGCACCAGCCTCTAGCATCCTGGGGGTGGGTTCCCCTGTTGTGGTGGGGGCCACGTTAGCAGAGGCACAGAGAGGAGGTCTCCTTCCTCCACGGCTGGGACACACCTGGGCACCAAGGTGAGCTCCCAGGTGCTGAGGAGGTTCTGGTCAGAGACCGGCAGCCTGGAGGGACCTTTAATGTGAGTTATCCTGCAGGGTCAGGGCCAAAATGAAGAGTCAGCCAAAATTTTTGCCTGGGGCTGAATGTCCTGTCCGTACCTACAGAGCCTTGAGTCCCTACAGTGCCCATCGTCCATGCCCTGCAGTCAGCCGGTGGAGGGCCCTGGTCTGATGCCACATGTAGTGCCATTCCAGCCCTCTCCCCCCTCGAACACAGTGAGCACCCCATATCAGGACCCTCAGGGCAGGAGGGACAGGGAGATATTGAGATTGATTGTGAGACTGCTGATGAAGGGCCAGAGTTTTGCTAGGATCTTACAGCTTCCTTGTATCCCCCGCTTAGATCTACCCCCTGCAGCCGAGAGCACGGGGACAAAGCCACCATGAAGAGCTTGAGGGCCAGGTTTAAGAAGAGTGATGTGAGTATCTGAGGGCAATCGGTCGGGGGCACCATGATGAACCCACGCCCCAGTGCTCGGCTGCTGGAGGGGCTGGTTTTTCCACTGACAAGTGAGAGAGAGGTCCCAAGTGCTTGTGCTCATTTAAAATCCCGTGGTGCCTGTTCCGAGTACGGGAACTGCGCCTCCAACACCCCCTCTCCTCCCCTCCCACAGGCAGATAATGCACCGGCTAGCCCCTAAAACCTCCCCCTGCTGAAAGTAAACAGATTAGTACCTGCCTTGCTGCCACATGGCTTACAGAGCATTTGAGCACTGTGTTTTTTCGTTTTTGTTTTTTTAACAACTTTTTGCTAAACTTTG